GCGGGCAGACCCGTTACCGTCGTCCGTTCCGGCTCATGAACCAAACCCGCGCTGTGGCGTGCATGCAGACTCACTCGGGCTTTCCCTGGCTGTAATTCCTTACGGCAGCCTCGTCGTTGCCCCCTGCAGCCGGCAGGTAGATTTGAACTGCAACCCGACGTCTAATCCGCAGCTCCTCCAGGGCTACTTCGTTAGAGGTCGGGGTAGACCCGCTCTGTGGGTTTCCAAGGTTGTGCGTCTTCACCAGAGCAGAGAGCCTCCTCTTTCGACCGCAGAACAGCTGGTGGTTTCTAACTTCTGACCTTTCTGCCCGCTGCTCCATCTATAACCCACTGCGCCAGCAGGCTCGCTGCCATCCAGTTGATGCCGACTCTCAAAGACCCTGTAGGGAGCCCTTGTGGGGTTTTACAGGAGCAGACAGCCTCCTCTTTCTCCCTTAGTGGTTTTGAACTGCTGACCTTGTGGTTAGCAGCCCAGTGCGCAGCCTCACAGGGATGCCTTTCTGATGCATAGCAACTCTACCACAAAACCCCACGACAAAGCAACCATTGAGTTGGTTCTGACCCCTTCCAAGCCTGTGTGACAGTAGAGCTGTCACCTAAGAGTTTCATGACTGATCGCCTTCACCGGAGCAAGCAGCCTCATTCTGCTCCCATGGAGTGGGTTTGAACTTCTGGCCTTTCCCATAGCAGCCCACCAGGGCCCCTTAGTGCCTCTCCGGAAGAGTCCGTGGGCCCCATGGGTTTCCAATGCTCTCATCTCATCATGGACAGCCCCGGTGTCACCAGCCGCTCGGAGGGAGAAAGAGGAGGCTGGCTGCTCCCGTAGAGCGACAGTCTCAGAAACCCACGGAGGCAGTTCTACCTTGTCCTATAGGGTCGCTGTCAGTCAGAATCTGCTCAGTGGCCGGGGCAAAAAAACCCATCCTGACGGGTGACAGCTGCCCCGTGGGCTTCCGAGGCTGTGTTCTCTAGGGCGAGAATCTGAAGTAGAGGCTGGTGGATTGGAGCAGCTGACCCAGCGCCTAACCACTACTCCACCAAGGTTCCCTGGTGTGACTAGTGCCCCCCAAAGCTCACCCAGCAACCCCGTGTGACCGCGTGAAACTGTCCCACAGGATTTAGGAGGCTGGCAGCCTTTACAGAAAGCTGGTGAGATGGAGGTGCCCCTGTGTGTGCAGACAGATCCCAAGTTCATGCACTCCTTTTAGGCCCGACGGCCCCCAGCCTGACAGAGCCTGGAGCTAGGGACAGTACTGATGGGCAGTGGCTCTGCCCTCCTGAGCAGGACAGTCTGTCTGCGTCTGCACTTCTGTTCCCCCCCAAACTGGTTAGCTCTGAGTGTGATCCTGGGGAGAAGTGAGGACTGGGGCTCCCACCAGGCCTGCAATCACACATCCATGTTAAACTTTTTTTAAAAATTTTCATCTGAGAGGTAGATGGGCTCCACACCAGACCCCACTGCTGTCAGGTTGGTTCCAGCTCACAGGTAAGGAGCTGCTAGCTAGAGATGACAGGTACATGGAGAGGCCAGATGGGCCAAAGGGACAGAGGCTGGACAGGGATGATAGGTAGGTGGGTGGACAGATAGGGTGATGGAGTTCACCACCACTCCGCAGACAGACGTCCCTGGGGAGAACTGCTGTGCCTGGACCCAGCCTTGTGTCTAGACAAGCCGGCGACATTGACAAGCTGGGAGAACCGACTCGTGGACCATCCGGTCTCTCTCTGGACACGGTCCTCTTCCTCTCAGAAGGACCGGGCAAACGGGAACACCAGAACGCCGGTTGGGACGAGGACTTCCCGCAGCCGCTGGGCCAGGAGCTGTCCACGGAGCTCCAGGGGGGTGTTCAGTCACAGGTTGGGTGGTCTGCTGGGACATAGACTGTTCTTTTGTCCTCGGGGTCCACTGCCGTGTGCCTGAGAAGTTTCTGGAACCCGTCCAGGTCCTTAGAATGGAACCCAGAGAGAGGTGGATGCGACATCCCCCGAGGGGACCCTGGCTCCCTGCCCGAACCAAGAGGTGACATCTCACCACAACCCGGTGATAACCACCTTGGTCCTTTTCCTGCCCACATTGGTTTCCTTCCGCAGGTTTGGGAAGGGGAAAGTCCCCGCCCCCGCCACACGGCGGGTGTGTGCCAGAGCCCGGGTCTCCCCTGTGTTGGTTACCCACAAAGTCTGTCACCTTAACCACATCAGCGCCCTGCTCTCCGGGAGGACATGACAAGTTTGACAACACCATGAGTGGCATCAGCGTTTCTGCAGACCAGAGACTCCCAGGGCACCGCCTGTCGGCCCTAACCACGACAAGGGGCAGAATCCACTCCTCAACCGCCTGGGGCCATCAGGTGACACCGCTGTGCGTGCTGAGGGCAAAGAAGACACGAGGAGCCCACGGACATAGCCGCCGCCCCTGTGGGCGTACGCCTTGACGTCAAGAAAGCCGGACCATTGCGCGCCATCGCTGCAGACGGAGAAGGCAAGGTCGAAGCGGCCAAGGAGTCCATTTTACTGGGGCCCCCACCCTTGCCCCCGCTGGCAGAGACCCCTCAGGACAGGCTGCCCTGTCCTCCCTCGCACCTTCCTCGCTGTCCTCAGCCTTGAGCAGGAACATGTCCCAGTGCAAGGTGCCCTTGTCCACGTCCTTCTTGACTCTCTGCAAGGCAAGGAGCGGGCCCTCGGGTGCCTGCACCTGCGGGTGTGTGCACCGCCTTTCCCGTCAGCTCTCACGGCTAACAAGCTCCCCTGGAGCTGGCCTAGCCAAGCGGGGCCGTCAAGGAATCCAGCTCCACCACCTAGGTCAGTGGTTCTCAACCTCCCTAGTGCAGCGACCCTTTCATCCAGCTCCTCATGTTGTGGTGACACCCCAACCATGAACTTATTTTCATTGCTACTTCATCAATGTAATTTTGCTACTGTTATGAATTATAATCTGATATGCAGGGTGTATTTTCATTGTTACAAATTGAACCTAATGAAAACACAGTGATTAATCACAAAAACAATATGTAATTATATATTGCGAAATAGTTATTTCTACTTATTGATTTCTAATATAAATAAATGAAATTTTGTCTTGAAACATGGTGTAGCATGGGTAACAGTCTTAATATAATGTGTTAAAATGTGTTTTCCGATGGCCTTTAGGTGACCCCTGTGATGGGGGTTCAGAACCGCTGACCTAGAGCATCAAGCAAATCCCCACGAGACCTTTTAAATGTGCTGCAAACCAGAGATGTCCCTTTGGGGACTGGTGCGCCCAACCCAAACCAACCTCCCTTCAGTCATCGCTCCCGCTGAGAAGGGTAGACAGCAGATCAGGGGGCGCAGGGACAACCGGTCTTCTGCATTGTGTTGGTGGAGAGCGGGGGGCATGGGGGGGAGCAGAGACTGCAGGGACAGGGAACATCTGTGGGGGCGGAATGGCCACCATGCTCCTCCGAGGCACGGGGGACAGACCGTCTGGGTTCTGTGGACATGTGGTCAAGAGAGCACCCCTGGAAAAGAGCATCGTGCTCCGTGACGCAGACTCTGCGAGGGAAAGAGGGGCCCCCGAGAGATGGAGGGACACAGTGACTGCAGCAGTGGGCGCGGACGCTGGGACTGAGGTGAGGCTGGCGCAGGACCAGGCAGTGCACCCTTCTGTTCCCACGGGGTGGCTAGGAGTCAGAACCATGTGGCCCGAGCAACAGCAGTGCCTGCACAGAGCCCGGCCCTGGTCTCTGCA